TTTAATTTATGCGTTGTATGTATAATTTTTTAATTGTTAAAGTTAAAGTTTAGATTATTTATTATTTATTATTAACTCTTAAATTTTATTATGACTTTTTGTCAAAAAATTTTTAATTAAATAATTAAGGCTATGTAGGAAATTATGTTTAGTAATTGACAAGAACACTTTTTTCAAAAAGTTATATATACCCTCATTGAAAAGAATGAATGTTAAGAAAATTTAAAAAACACTTTATATTAATTTTAATCTTTCTTTCTCAGCATTAAATAAGAGAAATTGATAGATTTTTTTTTTTTGAAATATGGCCCGAATTAAGCAATCTAAATATTTATATCATTAATTTTATTACTAGTGCCAGACAAATTATTTTAATTAAGTAGTTACTTACATAAAAGTCAATTTTTATTTTTTTAATTCAAATAAATAGAAAAAAGTATAATAATTACATTTTTAGGAAAAAGTTATAAAAACCCTTCATTAATCATGGATAGAGGCTGTTGAAGTGTTCCACATCATCTCCACAAGATGTTCTAAGCCCACACAAATGATCATAATAATTGAACTTTTTGACAAATGTCTTAATATTTTAGATTAGCAAGTTAATATGTTTTATTAAATTAAAATAACCAATTAATGAAATCTCACACGATTGAAAATTTTTTAATAATATTAAATGATAAATTTACAATTTTGTATAATATTATAACTATCAAATTATATTTTTTTTTCTCATTTTTGGGGGCCCATTGCTTAAGTTTTTGAGAGGACATCGATTAATCCCAACTTAAATACCTGTAAGTAGAGGTGTTTGCAACGTGATTTGATTTAGATTTTAATATTTTTTAAATCAGTCTAATTGAATTGGTTAGTAAGATTTTTTAAACTACTTTAATCCACTATTATATAATAACTAAATCAATCCAATTTAAATTTAATTGGTGTAATTTGGTTGGATTGATAAGTTTTTAACACTATTAAATATATGAGATAATGTACAAACATTTTAATGTCAAATAAAAAATATAACCATAAAACACATTAATATCCAAATAAGGAAAAACATAATAAAATTATAAACAAGTTTTTATATTCCTTTACAATTGTAAAAATTGAAAAGATCTGAAAATTATGCTTGGTTACATCACTAGAGGCACAAAGAACGATAAAAGATGACTTCAAGTTTCGAGCACAGTGTAAATAATTTTTAAATGTTAATTTTTTTTCTTAATGCACTAATAATCTAATCCCATTTTCCAAATCCTGTTAAAAGTTAATAAAATTTAATATGAACACCACTAAAATTGATTAAAAGCATTCATAATTAAGATTTAAAACTCCTCAACCAAATACCCAAGAATAATAAAATATCAAGACTAGCTCTATTAAATAGTTTTAAGACTTTTAAAATGATATTTTTTTAAAACTTATTTAAGAGAATCAGAATATTATTTTAGGAATAAATTAAAAATTTAGGGTTATAAGAGTAAAGGCTCAACAAGTTCTAAAGGATAAAGTTGTAGGTAAATTAGAAATTTAGAATTAAAGTTAGAATGTACGATTAAAAAAAAAAAACTTAGAAAATATGGAGATGTTTTATTTTTATTTTTTAATTAAGTTAATGAAGCTAATATATCTTGTAAAACAAGGAAAAGAAATTTTAAAATATTATAAAAATATATTATATTATTTAATTAAGTTATTTTGTAGTCGAATTTTTTTTTGTAATCAAGTAATTCAGACAGTTTGAAGATGAAATCATAAACAAACCAATTATATCAATTTTAAAATTTTATAATTCAAACCAACTTAATTTTATATCTATTTAGTTTGATTTTTTATTAAGTTAAATCAATTTAGATCAAATCAATTGGATTAGATAAAATATAAACACCCTACCTGTTAGGCAACGTGAGGGATTTGGACAGAATTGTTTTAGTTGATAGCATGGAGTTGTAGACGGTGATGGTATATTATTGGGCCTGTGAGTCTATGACGTTTAACTTCGTACGTATATTGTTAAAAATGTCAAACCATTGAGTTAAGATTTATTTTAGATATTATTTTTACATATATTATTTATATAAAATTTTGATAATAAAATAATTATCTTTAAAAAATAATATATAAAGTGAATAAATCTCAATTTTTCATAATAAAAAGATAAATAGTCAAAATTTTATATAAATAATACGTGTAAATAACTCTAAAATATTACTCCCTCTGTTCCTCTTTCTGTTTCAAAATAAATATTGTTTTTTATTTTTTTAAAATATTATATAGTTTATATAATTGATTATATTTATACAATAACTAATTAACAAAAGATTGAGTAATTGATTGTTTTTATTGAAGTTGACTTTGTTATATATAAAAAAAAAAACTGGTTATATATTATTTTATAACCAATTATATTTTAGATTGTAATTAATTATATTTGTTTTGTAATCAATTATATTTTACTTTGTAAGTCAATTATATCTTAAAGGTTAGTGCATATTGGTCCAACTCCCAAAAATAATTAAAGTTTCAATTTATATTTGAAAATTGAAATCTCATCATATTAAATGTTGATATATAGATTTAAAAATCAAGTATATATTTTAATACAATTAATTTTCAAATCTAAACATCAACATTTAATAAGATAATTTTTTAAATTTTAAATTAAGTTTTAATTAAATGAAACGATATAATTTAAAGTTAAAACTCCAATTTATTTTAAAAATTAAAATTGATATACACTTTTCTCTTTTACCTTAACATGTAATAAATTATAATTTTTCTTTGCAAATAATTGGTGAAAAGATAAAATAAATACACCCCTAGGACACATGTACAAAAAATCTTCAAATCTAATCATCAACATTTAATAAGATAATTTTTTAAAATTTAAATTAAATTTTAATTAAATGAAACGATATAATTTAAAGTTAAAACTCCAATTTATTTTAAAATCAAAATTGATATACACTTTTCTCTTTTACCTTAACATGTAATAAATTATAATTTTTCTTTGCAAATAATTATTTTAATTTTGTAATTGACTATATTTTACTTTCCAAGTTGATATATTATTCTTGGTAACCAATTATGTTTTACTTTATAATAATAACCTAAAAGTAAAAAAGAAATATAACTAACTATCTTTTCAATATAGTTGATTATAATTACTAAAAGGAAAATTTCTCCAAAGTATACCAAACGCAGGACTCTTACCTAAACTATCTGCCTAACAACATAATCATCCTTGCAAAACAATCCACCCATAAATACAACCTGCTCGAAAAAACAATCCTGCTCTAACGAAATAGGCCTAAGAGTTGGATTTACTAATATGTATGTGTTATCTTAATTATTGTTTTCAGTTGACTTTATTTGTTATACTTTTATTTATTATGGTTATAACAAAAATTATAAATATTTATAAAAATACATTTATTATTAATTAAAATTTTATATTTATCTTTATTAATGAGGGAATTGAGAAATTAAAATGTATTTTTTGAAAAAATAGAATAATTATTAATAAGCATAAAATAAAAAAAACTTTAATATTATTATAAAAATTAAGATTAACAAATAAATTAAATTATCTCTTTGAAAAAATATGACAAATAAAATGCATCGGAGGTAGCATAAAGTAACTCTAGATTTCAAGATTTAGGGGCAGTATTCAAGGAAGGATTAGCTTCCATTTGGGGTGTGCATCCTTATATATAATTGTTTGAATATGTACAAATTAACTCAAATATAATTATGATTACACGATATATTAAAGTTACATAGAAATTATATTTTTGTTTATTTACATTTAAGAAGAAGTGTTGTGTGAAGTTGACTGAATAAAAATATAATTTAACAAATAAAGGTAATTAATGTGACGATAACAATTTATTGTATTTGTATTTATTAATTATGTCCCTATAATTAAACACCAAAACACCCTTTCTCGAAGAAATATATATATTAAAAAAAGAAAGGGGAAACATCAATCAAACGTCATGGCTTGGGGAATAAGAACTAAGAAGAAACTACACTAGTTCTCGATGGCAAAGTAAGTTATCCATTTGGAGAACAACTCATCTTGTTCTCGTTGGGAGAACATCCCATCTGGTGAGAATAACACTACTTTCTTAAAATGAAGAGCATTTTAACCTTGTGTTATTGGGGCATGGGATAACAGCATTAACTATTTCTAGCTTTATTATTTATTACAAATCTTGCATAAAATAAATGAAAAATTTAACCCTTTAATTAGAATTACTTCTTTTTAGTAATTAAAATATTTATAAACAATTTTAATTATGCATCTTATTATTATGAATA